AATGAGCAGTAAAAGTTTCAGAGATAAAGATGAGGTCTAATTCCAATGTGCTTCAGGTCTGAAGGCAAGCAGCCTGCTCTGAAATCTTTTAATGCTACTATCCAGCCATTCTAGGACAGACTGCTTCCTGGTGTCTACCAAATAAGCAAAACAGGAACAATCCAGAGTGTTCGTAAGCATGATTCCGGAGGGAAGCCCTTCATGGTGGCCCTGCACACAGTTCGTGGACACCCACACAGGCACAGCGTGACAAGTCCCGCCCAAGTTAGTATGGGCTTCCATACAAGCAGAGCACATGAACTCCATCTCCTATAACCAGGACTGCCATGCAAATCCCACAAGCACACTCCAACTCAGCGTTGAACAGAGTCACTCACAGATAAAGCATGTGCACGCGTATGTGAACATAGCTCATAGACTCCCACACGGCCTCACAACACCCCAAATAAGCATCTGGATGAACAATGGGCACAGCTGAGAATAGCCTGTGACCAAAGGGCCACAGAGCGACACTGTTAAAATGGAGAGCAGCAAGCTGGGAAGACGGCTTGGTGATTGAGAGCAGCTGCTGCTCAGCAGAGGACTGGGGTTCAGTTCCCAGAACCCAAGTTGAGGCTCACAACCACCTCAGGGAATCCACGGAATCCCACGCTCCCTTCTGAGCCTGGGCCACCAGGTGCTCACACAGCACACAGCACACTCACACACCTGTAGGCAAAGTAGTCTTTTTTTTTTTTTTTTAAATATAGAGAGTGACAAAGGTAATTCCGGGATCAGAAATGGTAAGAGCAGCAGACACCTCTGAAAGCTCTCCGTGCTGCTGCTGTCATGCACAGGGCCTCACAGCGTGCTCTCAGCACTGTTAGCAACCGCTCTGGTTTATCGGTTTCCTTTATTTTGGAATGAGCTTTTGCCATGCTGCCCTGTCTGTCCCTGATCCTAGCCTCAAGCTACCCCTTCCTCGGCCTCCTGAAGAGCTAAGAGTACAAGCACACATGACTATATCCAGCTATTGAACATTGTTTTGTTTTACTTTATTTTTGAGGCAGGGTCTCACTGTGTAGTTCTGGCTAATAGAAGTCTCTAGATAGGCCAGGTTGTCCTCAGACTCAAAGATGCTTCCTCTGCTTCTTAAGTGCTGGGATTAAAGGCGTAGGCCACTACACTCAGTCTAGCCTTGTTTGAAAGAAGTGGAAACAATGACTAAAGAAATGAAATTCCTCATCAAAGATCATCCCACCAGTAAACTGACCAGATTAGGAGAAGCCACGCAAGGATGCTGCAGGAGGCTAGTGTTACAGGAAGGGATCAGAAGTGTAGGGCTGGTCATGGGCCCGCTGCCTTCTACGTACAAAGTGGGAGAGTCAGCTGCGGACTTGCAGTTTCTCCATGTTTCTGTCTCCTACTTCCTGTGCACCTGAACTTACGTGAAGAACACCACCCAGCAGACATCACATCTGCCATCCAGGATAGCACCTCATATACCTGCCATCAGCGCCTGGCTGTGGACATCCTATTGCTTGAAAACTCACCAAAAGTTAGGAACCCAAAGTTTTTTCCTCACTGTTTTCCTCACTGCGGTGACAAAAATGAGCAACGAAAGCAAGCAAGGAAGATTTGTCCAGACCCACGGCTGAAAGCGCAGGCCATCGTGGCGGCAGCGTGAGGCAGCGGGTCACGGCACACAGCCCAGAAGCAGAGGCAGACAGTGCAACGCTTACCTGCTTCCTCCCTCCCATCCGGCCCAGGAGGCCAGTGTGCACTATCTCAGAGGGCACCCAAGTCCCGGGCTTAATGTCACAGAGCTCTGTTAGGGAGGCCTTTGGTCCTTTATTGGACTTACACGCACATGTGCACAGGACAAACATGTCATTCACAGATGCACAAATACGTGTCATACAGATGCACACCCATGAACACAGGATAGAAAACGCACAGCAGCGCACACAGGTAGCACACACTAGAGCTCATCGACACACTCACGGTCTACTAACAGCACACTTCGCTCATACGCACACTGCCCCTTTCCACGGGCTGACTCTGTGGAGAGGCCTTCTCTGACATCTCCCCAGACTCCCCAGAGGCAGCTATGCCCTCCTTCCCCCTGCCGAGGCTCCTCTCCACCCCAGCGTGCTCTCATGCTCCCACAGGAACAGCATCACCTAACCACAGTAGAACTCACAGTGCTAGTAAATGGCATCTCGTGTGGAGTACCAAATGCACCCCAGCACCAGCAGCCTGGGTAAGCAGAGGACAAGGAAGGGCCGCTGAGGAGCGTGTCCTATTGCAGTGAGCCTGAAGCAGGCCTGTGAGAGGAGCAGCAACTTCAGAGGTGTGCACCCGTGAGGGGAGGAGAGAAAGCTTGTTGGCTTGGAGAAGCATGGCTCCCACACTTTTAGAGAGCCTGGGAAGCCCCGCTGTGCTGAGCCTGGCAAGGGCATTGTCACTTTATAGATAGGGTCCTTGTCTTTGAACAACTGGCCTGAAAGCACTGCTGAGCTGATCCTTTGAATCTGCATTCCTGCCTGTTCACAGGACAGGACCTCAGCACTTCAAACACAGAGCTTGGCCAAATTAGTCCCAGGTAGGTGAGTGTGGGTGGCCCAAGCTGGGTTGGGAGGGAGCCTCCCTCAGTGTAACACCACGAGAGCTTACCCAGACAGCACACACACCCTGGGCTCCTTATCTCTGCACACCAGTGGGATGAAGCAGGGTGGGTGCTTGCCTGGCTCTCACACTGGCCCCAGGTCATGAGGGCACTGCATGATACAGCCTGGCTATAGCCCATTGCCAAAGCAGCCAGTAGAAATAGGGCTATCTCAAGCCAGAGGTGAAGTGAGAGCCTTGTGACCTTGGCATGGTCCCAGAGCTCCATGGGAAGTGGGGATTTCCTCCTGTCTACTCCTCTCATTTCCATGGCTACACATCACCATCCAGTCTGCTGGATCTACTCTTTCCCAGGCCCACGTGGTGCCTCCAGTACAAGCCAGTGCGTGTGATCTGTGTGGCTCGCCTTCTATTCTTCCAGCGCTCCTGTTCCCTAACCATGAGCTTCCCTTCCAAAGCTGGTTCTGCATTATACTGGTTCCGCAGTCTTTTTTCCAGGCAAGCACGGCTATATGGCAATGGGGGGAGGGGAGGAGGTGGCATCTATACACACTTGCCAAATTTAACAGTCAATTTCCTCCTCCTGGGGACACAGCTCCCTCCTTGGACCTGCGCTGCTGCTGTTCCCACCTGCCATTTCCTCCTGCAGCCCTGCACACTCTGACTTTACCCCATCCCGTGGGCCTGCAGATGCTGCCTCCCCTTCAGACTCTCCGGAACAACTTCATAAAAGTGATAAAAATAGATGGCAGAGGCGCACTCCGTGCGTCAGAAAACAGGCTGGGAGAGCTTGCTTCTCTATCATGGCAGTGATGAGGTAAGGGGTCAGGGTTTACTTCCTTCTTCTCACAGGACATCCAGATTTACATACGTCCCTGCTTTTTAGAGAACGGTGTACAATTGTTGAGACGTCACAGCTGATCTGAGAGCCTGACCACAGATTTGCTGAAACCCTGCTCCAGAGAACCCCAACTTCCTAATTAATCTGACACAGGTGCAAGTGCACAACAGCAGTGAGGCCAAGTGCCCTTTCCAGTGCTGGCAACAGCAGAGACACCCAGCAGGAACCCGCTGAAGACAGGGCAGGGCAGAGTCAGCCAGAGCCATGCTGCTTTCTTTCTGTGGCTCCTGCAAACAGTGTGGGCATCTGTTTTGACTGGCCACGGAGGCATGGCCAAGAGTGAGGACAAGGAAGGTCCCAACGCAGAATCTCAACATAGCAGCACTACATTTTCTGCTTCCAAAGGCCAGCAGCAGAGGAAATGAGCCGTTCCGACAGGTCCTGCTCCACAGAGGGGCCAGGGCTTCAGGGAGACTAAGTGCTCTGCAGGTGGGCTCTTCACTGCGAGGATGGCTTTGATGCCACCCAAAAGGGAAAGAGACCACTGAGGAAGCTGTCCTTTTTTTACGGGGTAAGAGGGGACACACAGCTGGTTGCCATGGGGAGAAGCCTAAAAGGACAATGTTTTCACAAAGGTGCCTATCTAAAATAGGGCAACTGAGGCCAAGGCCCGGGGCAGCGTGGTGGCTGAAGGGCCTTTCATCCTCGCACACGGGACATGCTACCCAGTGTCAGATTGCACAACAGGCAAGCATGACACACACTGACACACGGTGCTCAACATGCAGGGCAGAACACATGAGAGCCCACATCACACACAGACCACACGACTCAGGCCACAGCACACATATATCACAAAACGCACTTGGGATGATACCCTGCCTAATGTACACAATCACACAACCTACTGGGCACACACAGCAAGAGACGTTCACTAGCATTGAACACAGGGCACCACTAACAATCACATCCTGCACAAAACCAGATATATATATATATATATATATATATTAGAAGTATACGTCATGTATGTATAACATGTATGGGTCCCCAAAAGTAGACTCAGGCTGACCCCTGCTGACTCCCTGGTGCTGGAGCTTTTCTTTCTCTTGTTACATTCAGATCAAAATGAAAGCCCAGACAGTGTCCTGAAGCCACGAGAAATAGTTTCCCTCTAAACGGTCTCTGTGCTTGGACTATTTGTTGGAAAATAGGTATAGCTTTCAGAGCTTCAACAGGCAAGGAGCCTGCAGGGAGTTAAACCCTAAGACCATCAAGTCCTGCTCTGCACATGCTGTCCATTGTCCCTGAGAGTGTGGGCATTCCCTGCAGAGAGCGACCTGGGCCAGAGCTCACTACCTACCCGTGGCTGTCCTCTGCAATCTCCATCAGCAGGGAGACCCTACGTGCAGGGTACAGGGTCATCAACAGGAGCAGGCAGGGCTTTGCGTAGCCTGAAGCCCAGGAGGCCCCTTCTAGCTGGGCAGCCCCCTGCACCACCACCCTCCAGGGTCTCGGGTCCTGGGGGATAGAAGCCAGAGTCTCCGCTCACTTGCTTCCTGTGAGGATATATCCTTGCTGCTCCTCCTCAGAAGGCTGGGCTTGTAGCTGCAGACCCCCACCAGGGGGGCCCTGTGCTGCAGACTTGCGGTGCTGCTCATCCTCCCACATCTCTGGAGCTCGGGGTTGGAACTGGTCCTCAAGCCGCCACGGCTGGGGCTCCGAGTCTGGCTTCCTCTCCAGCAGGTCTTTGGAGTAAGTCCGGCTCCTCACATGCTCCACCCCAGCAGTCTCCTCTTCTGAAGACAAGGCCTCCTCGGGCTGCCCTGACTTCTTCACCTCTGCTCTGGAGGGCTTTTCCAGAGGGGGAGGGTCGGGCGATAGAGGAGAGCCCCGGTCCTTCAGGAGGTCCCCAAGTTGGACACTCAGACGGCTGACCTAATGAAGAAGTAACACCCATGAGATGACAACCGAGAAGGCCCTGTCAGCACATACTGTAGAAGTGGAGTCACGTGGCCGGTGGCAGCAGGCCACTCTGAAGGGAGACATTGGTCTGTGTGCAGAACCGGGTCTGGAGGAGACACCCGTCATGTGTTTCAGTCACGCCATGGTGCTCCCTCCTACTCCTCCACCCTCTCTTGCAATCTTTCTCAAGGATCCAGTTTTGTATTTGATGCACATCTTCATCATGCCTAGTTTTAGAAATTATCCACGTGATTTCAAGATCCCTCCAGGAGCAATGAACACCTAACCACTATCCCACATCCTGGTCATCTGCGGAGCTCTCCCTCATACAAAACCAGTGCAGTGGACACTTTGTATGTGTGAATGCACTCTTTATATAAACTCCAGGAGTTTGTAAAACACCCATTACAGAGACAGGAAAACTGACGTGGGAGCTAGCCTTGGACTGAGCCCATTGTGGAGACATGTATTTATGTTCTAGTGACATTCTGGTCCTGGGAAAGATGGCATTCTCCCACCTGCCCCTTTGGACAAGCCCCGGCGTCCACCAGGAGGGTTCTATGATTGTGGTTCATGGTTTTATACCCAGCACTCGTTTGCCCCCACAAGCCTCATTTCATCATTCCCATGCCCTGGCCTCTGCTTCAGATGCTCACCTTTACAGAACCTTACAGGACATCAGATGATCACAGAATTGGAAATCAGCAGTTCCAAATTTTGAAGTAAGGCTTAACCTATATCAAGGGTGCTATTTCCATGAGGACAGTGCCTCCAAAGTGTGACTCATGATTTTTGCAGAAGCAAAAGTCCTTATCATTTCAGTGGAGTGGTCTTAATCATAACATTTTATTTATGACTCTACACTAGGCAGGAACTGTAGGTTTGATTTCTTTCACAACTTATCTCACCAAATACATATATGTAAAAAATAAATAACTGTGGGGGAGATCATTCCCTCTTCACTAGAATACAATAGTTTACTCCAATTTTGATTTGCAATAATACATGGCAGTTAGTTAGCCAGTAGGGGCTTTTGAAAGACAGTAGATTGGGGAATAATGATCTCTCAGATAAAGCTGACTACGAGGAAAAGCTGTCACTAAAGAGAAAGAGCTCAGAGAATCCAATACTCAAAGCAAAAGAGAACAAGTCAATGCGACACCCAGAACAGAGACGGGCCAAAACTCAGCAAGGGTAGGATGAGGCAAGGAGACACAAGTGATGGCTTCACCAAGTTCAGGTCCAGGGGCCTCTGCTCTGAATTCTGAGACTACAACCTTGAGGACTGTGGGTCCTGGGGGGCATCCATTACAGTCCCCAAATCCAGGAGCTGTTTCCGCACCCACTTCTCCATCACCCTCAGACAGACGCCCCACTGTGGATGGGACTTTACTTTGCTGATGTTCCCTGCTGGCACCATTAGGGGATCCACAGGCAAGCAAGGTGATGTCCGCAGCTTTATAGACCACATGGTAACCCTGCCACCCAAGCAGACTTTTCTGCTTAAGACTTACGTTAGAGACCACAAGTACTCAAGCAAGACCCCCAAAATGTAATAAAGCTTTTGGGTATTGCGACGCACAGTACATAGGTGCCGGCTGACTCAGCCCTTTCACGGGCCGCCCTAGACATCATAATAGCGTGCCCTACAACTCTGTGACTGTCCACAGCATCAGGCTGGGAAGCTGAGGCAGTGCCAGGTGCTCAGGGGCCCATGGTTCCCAGCCAGGAAGCCTCAGAGGCAGGATGTAGGACTTGGCAAGTCTGTGAAATGAACCTGTGATGTTCTTATGGAAGAGAGATTTCTGAGAATATTAATTCCCCATTTTGAATGCACTATATTTTCATGTCTCTAATGGCTAATCATGCATTTATAATCTAAAAATGTATGACATTCTATAGGTCTATACAATTGTGGGTGCACTCTGTTGTTTTCTCAATTTGAAGATTATGAGGATTTTCCCTGTGCCTTTCCAGCAGGTAGGAAACTACATTTCATACATAGAAAGATGATTAATAATAGCATGATTTTAGGTCACTGTGGTGTCATCTTACCTCCTTGTACACTGGGCCATCCACTTCCGATAGTCTGTGATCTGTAAAAGACAGAAGCATGTCATCCCAGTTCCTGAAAGACATCCACACAGTGTCCCTCTGCGTGGCAGGACAACCATGCAGAGCACGGTCCTCGCATGCATGTGAGGGGGAACAGCATGCCACGTGTCTACACGGAGGAACACTGCACGCTGCAGAACAGGCGATGATAACCCTTCCAGCCTGTGGCCGTTGAGGGGACAACTAACCAGAGCAGACGCACCGGGGTACATAACCTGTACAGCATCTTCTGTGTCTGCCTTAGCACGGAGGACCCCATGCCTCACCGCAGTTAACAGTTAACAGATAAAATCACACGCGTCTACCCAGCTACTTCATTTTAAACACGGTGGGGGCTATTGCTGTGAGAAAACAGCATGGCCAAAAGCAACGTGGGGAAGATTGAGTTCATTTCAGCGCATAGTTTACAATCCACCGTTGAGGAAGTCCGAGCAGGAACCAAGGCAGGGACCACAGAGGGTCACTGTTTTACAAGCTCCCTAATCATAGCTTACTCAGCTTGCTTTTTGTATAACCCCAAAACACCTGTCCAGGGTGGCATCACCCACAGTAGGCTGTGCCCCTTCATGTCAAGCGTTAATCAAGAGAATACCCTTCAGACTTTTCTGTCAGCCAATAAGATGGAGGCATTTTCTCAGCTGAGGTTCCCTCTTCCCAGATGACTCCAGCTTGTGTCAAGTCGAGGGGAAAATAACTCACCAGAGCAGATGCCCAGTGTATGTAACTCAGGGCACATCCCCCAATTCCTAGGGGGCTCTAGATCTTCCTATACTTGGTTCCCTCTTTGACACTGGTGACCTGCCTGTGCTGGAGACAACAGACTGGACCTCAAATGCGGCTTTCAACAGGGTTTTGTATGCCTACCATGTTCAGAGCTCAGCGCCTCAGAGGCCCACCTGCCTTGAGCCACTCCGGGTAAGAGAGGGCATGCTGCTGCCTGCCACTGCCAGCAGCCAAATAGGTAGATACGGACACTTGAATGAACCCTTTTCAGTTTACTGTTCAAATATTTGACAGTGCATACTGGCATGACCCACTCAAAGACACTCTCCATCACTCCTAGGTTTTCCTAATTCTGAACCTCAGCACGCAGGAATCAAACCTCCTCCCTGAGAGCAATTTGCCATTCAATGTAATTGCTCTGGTAAGCTTAGTCTGTTAAGAAAGCTTTTAGAGGCAAAAGTTCAAACAGATAAAAATCTTTAATACAAATCCATCTCTCCAGCAGAAAGAATGCACTTATGGCCTGGTGGGTAGGACTCTCCCCTCCCCACACCTCCTCCTCTCCCTCTGTCCTTACCACCTCCCTATTCCCTCACACTTCTTCCCCTCTGCATGGCATGGTCTCACTCCTCCCCCAGGGTCCCCCCTTCTCCGACCCCTCCAGTCCTTCCCCCTCCTCCGACAACTCTGGTCCTTCCCCATGACCACCCAGCCACAGAGGACGGCAGGAGCAGGAGGTCACCTTCAGGCATTGCTTCTGGGGCATCAGCCTGCCCCCTGGGCTGTGCCTCAGCCCCTCCCCCTCGGCTACCCTGGCTTCCCGCTGCAGGATCACCTTGTAGGGCCCCAGCAACCGAGTCTGCCGAGTCTGTGGTCTCCTCCAACCTCAGCGGGCCCAGGCGCTCCACCTCAGCCTGCTGCTGCAGATCCTTCGGGAGACTCCGCAGGAACGTGTCTGGGGGCACAAAGTCAGAGCTGGTGAGCTGGACAGCATGAGAAGCAGCCCAGCTTCAAGAAGAAGTTTTCTGTGTTTAGCTGGACATAAAGCCACAGAGAAGGCAGGGCCTCTGACTGCCCAGGGAAGGAGACAGGGAGGTCTCACCAGCAACTACAGTTTCAGCTGGGGAACAGCTTGCTTCTCACTGGCAAGCCTTCAGGTTATCAACACATGGTCATTAGCCATGCTTGGCTCTCCTAGAACAGAGAGCAACTACAGGACAAACGGAGACTTGGGCTCACATGCCACTGTCCCCCTCCACCTAACCCACTCAGATGCTGCCAGCGAGACGGTGGCCATATTTCTTGAAGCTCATGGAGAACTTCCTCAGCCAAGCGCTCTGACTGGCATGGCAATGTGTCTGCATAGCTCTGAAGCCCACTGGTCCTTGTGCAAAGTGTAAAACAAGCTCAGAGGTAGGTTCCCCAAGTAAATCTTTACTGAGAATGAGCAAACAAACTGGGGCTCAGGAACTGTCGCTGCCTGGGGCCTAGAACCTTCCTGTAGGCTAGGGCCCAGAGGAGAAAGCATGGGACCACACCCCTGCTGAAGCCCTCACAGGGATAGCTCTAGCCAACACCTATGCAGAAGTCAGGGTAGGGACTGTGATACCAAATATAAGGCAGAAAGGCGATGCTTTTTAAAGAGCCTTCACATACTAGTCATAGCCACATATTCGCCACATTTTTATATTCTCCAGCACCTCAAATAGTCCTCCAACAGTGTAGGGAAGGACAAGGCCCCACGGAGGTGAGACAGGTGGGGGTCCATGGACGAGGGACAGTTTATGTCAGCACAGACCTAGGCTCTGCGCCCTTCTTCTGTATTGGCTTTGGGCTTCCTTGTTCAGCCAACAGTGGCCATGTAACTCTTTTACAATGAGAAAGAACCACACAAACATTGTCTCAGGCCCAGCACATGCTTCTCTGTGAGTGTTTCCCTCTCTCTCCTTCCCCCTCCCCCAACTTTTCTCCCCTTCCCTCCCATCTTCCTTTCTTCCCTGCTTTGATGCAAGACCCCACTGGTTCCACCTATTACACAGCTGCTGGTGTCAGGCATCCTCCATCACGGACAGATGTGGGTTGGGAAAACAAGGCTCACTCCCCAGCAGCCGCCCAGTTTTGCTTCCGAACAAGTTCTAGAACTCAGTGTGAGGCTGAGGGCAGGGAAATTCCTTCTCTTCGGGATCAGATGTCTGGGGTCATAGGCAGTGGCTGGAATTAAAGATCTAGCATACTGAGAGTCTATGGCGGGACCTTGAAATCTACGCACAAGTATACGGTAGGTGGGCATGCAGTGAGGAAGCCATGTGAAAGGAGAAACGCGCAAGGCCAACAAGAGACAGGGTGTGTATCGGGACATGCTGCGACTCCCTGCTGCCGCTCTCTCATAGAGCCCCGTCAGCAGGGCACTGAAGACCACATCTTCAAGGAGGGAAAGCAAAAGATTGGTGCCATGAGGTTCGGGATAATGCAGAAATTTAGCTGGTGCTGGGAGACCCTCTAGCAGGGGCTGCTAACGCCTCCATCTCTTCTGTGTGCAGAGCCAAGTACAGTGGGAAGGCTTGCACAGAAGGGAGCTGAGACTCGACCGTGACTTCCAACAACAAGAGAAAATATGACCGAGGACATTCAGCCAGGACCACACAGGCCAAAGGGAAAACCAGGGTAAACTCTGCAGGGTCATAGAAGAAAAACCTATGGATGGGCTTAACCACAGGCCAGAAGCAGGCAATTAGGGGAAAATCTGAAAACAGCAGAAGTTACACAATGAGAAGATCACAGAATCTCAGCAACCTGAGAGGCGGGGCAGGCCACACTGCACTCCCAGTGCAGGGCACAGACGTGTCCAAGAAGTCGGCAGGCCAACTGTAGAGCCTCACCTGTCCCTCTGCTCCAAACCCAGTGCCCCAGTCTCGTACCCAGCTCTGCAGCAGAACACCTGTGGCAAAGTCCCTCCATCCCACCCCTACCCCCAGTGGCTCACACAAATCTCCACCTCCTAGCCTCCCTCCCGGACTCATTGCTTTACCCCAGTCCCCGACTCCAGAAGGCACTATCTGGGAACCCTCAGGCTCCGACCAGGGAAACAGGCACACTAACTGCAGACCTTACCTCTTCCCTCTTTCCTCCAAGTGTACTCCCCCAGTCTCATCCTTCTGGAGCAGATAAGCTGCTATGGCTTCTCCTCACTATCTATTCCCAAGGGACGTAGCAGATCCTGGTAGCACACCCTTCTTTCTTCCCTCTTGTGGAACCCTTCATCCTTCACCCCCCAGGGCTAGCCTCATTCCCAAATATCAGCTTCCACTACCCAGAACCCCCAGTAGCCACACATATCAGTACCGGAGAAAAATTTCCTATCAGGCAACACACAGCCACTAAAATCTCCAAAGGCCCAGAGAGGAAAACAGAAGCCAAATACAAAACACCTTCCCAACAAAGACAAGACCAGATCTCAACACCTAGAATTACAATCCTCCTAATTCCAGATGCCTCGATGACAGCATAAAAGTGCAATTGATAACAGCCAGAACAATATCTCCAGTAGAAGCCAGCAACCCTACCACAGCAGGCCCTAAGTATTTCAACATAGCTGAAACACAAGAAAAGTTCATTAAAACAGCCTTTATGAATATAATAGAAAGTAATACATCCCTTAAAGAAATCCATGAACATACAAACAGTGGAAGGAAATAAATAAAACTGTTCAAGATCTGAAAGTGGAAATACAGTCAATAAAGAAAACCCAAACAGAAAAATATGGAAATGAACACTGTAGAAACTCAAACAGGCACCTCAGTGGCAAATCTTACCAACAGAATATAAGAGATAAAGAGAAACTCCCAAGCACTGAAGACATAATAGAAAAAAAAATGTATACCTCAGTCAAAGAAAATGTTCAACCTACAAAATTCCTGGCACAAAACATCCAGGAAATATGTGACAGCATAAAAAGACCAAATCTAATATTAATAGGAATAGAGGAAGGAGGAAAAATCCAGGTCAAAGAAACAGAAAATATTTTCAACAAAATCATAGAAAAAAATTTCCTAATCTAAAGGAGATGCCTATCAAGGTAAGAAGCATACAGAACATCAAATAGGCTAGGCCAGAAAAGAATTTCTCCTCAGTATGTAATAACTCAAAACATACAGAACAAAGAAAGAATATAAAAGCCGCAAGGGAAAGACCAAGCAATGTAAAGGCAGACCTCAGCCTAACATCTAACTTCTCGGTGGAGACTCGAAATGCAAGAAGGGCCTGGACAGATGTGTTACAGACTAAGAGACCACAGATGCCAGCCTAGACTGCTATAGCCAGCAAAACTTTCAATGTACTAGAGGCAGAAAATAAGACATTGCTTGATAAAACCAAATTTAAATAATGTCTATCTACAAATCCAGTGCTAGAGCAGGGGCTAGAAGGCAAACTCTAACCTAAAGAAGTTAACCCCACCCAAGATAACACAAAGAACATTCTCTGTAGGACACAATGAAGGTGGTTCGAAGAGGCAAGTTCTTAGAACTAAGTGCCTCCCTGAAACAACTGGAGAGATCTCACATCACATCTGAAAGTTCTAGAACAAACAGAAGAACACACATGAAGGAAGTAGATGGCAGGAAATAAGCAAACTCAGGGCTGAAATCAATAAACTAGAAACAAACAAACAAAATACAAAGAATCAGTGAAACAAAGAGTTGGTTCTTTCGGAAGATCAGTAAGACTGATAAACTCTTATTCAAATTAAATCAAAGGGGGTAAGAGGAGAAATGAATTAACAAAATCAGAAACGAAAAGCATAACATAACAACAAACAATAAGGAAATCCAAATATCACAAGGACATATTTTAAAAAGCTACTCTCCAAAAATTAAAAAATGTAAAAGAAATGGATAAGTTACTCGATACATACCACTTACCAAAGTTAAAGCAAGATCAGATAAACAATTTACATAGACCTGTAACCCCTAGTGAAATAAGAGCAATGATGAAGAGTCTCCCAGCCAGAAAAAGCTCGGGGCCAGATGGCTTTAACACAGAATTCTCCCAGACTTTCAAAGAAGAGTTAACCCCAATACACCTTAAATTATTTCACAAAATTGAAGCAGAAGGAACATTGCTCAGTTTGTTTTATGAGGCCAAAGTCACCCTGATACCCAAACAACACAAAACTTTAACAAAGAAAGAATACAGACCACTTTCCCTTTAAAACATAGATAGAAAAAATACTTGTGAACTAAATCCAAGAACACATCAAAAAGATCATCTACCATGATTAAGTAGGCTTCATCCCAGAGATGCCAGGATGGCTCAACATATGTAAATTGATAAATTATAAATCCACCATATAAGCAAACTGAAAGACAAAAACTGCATGATCAGCTCATCAGATTCTGGAAAGACCTTTGACAAAATTCAACATCCCTTCACCATAAAAGTCCTGGAGTTATTTGGAATACAAGGGACATACCTCAAAATACTAAAAGTAGTTTACAGCAAGCCTATAATGAACATCAACCTAAATGGAGAGAAACTCTAAACAATTCCACTAAAATCAGGAACAAGAAAATACTGCCTACTCTCTATATACCTATTCAATATAGTACTTGAAGTCTGAGCTAGACTTCAATTTAAAGAGATCAAGGGAGTAGAAGTAAGAAAAGAAGATGTCAAAGTAAGAATAAGAAATTATTTTGATCAACTATACATTTGATAGAGGGCTAGTATCCAAAATATATAAATTCAGGAAACTAGACATAAATAAAACAAGCAAAAAACAATTAAAATACGGTACAGGTACAGAGGAAGTCCCAAGAGGAAACTCAAATAGCTGAAAACAACTAAAAGAAATGTTCAACATTCTTAGTGATCAAGGAAATGCCAACTAAAACTACTTTGAGATTTTTGTCCTACACCTGCCGAACAGCTAAGATCAATAAAACAAGTGACAGCTGG